ATATTTTTTTTTTTTTACAGTTTTATTATTATTTTTTATTTACAAAATTTTTCATATAACTTCTATTTTTTCCCATAACTTTTATTTTACAAAATTTGTTTCATATTTTTTTTAAATTCCATTTTTTCCTATAACTTCTATTTCACAAAATTTGTTTCATTTTATTTTAAGTTGTAGTTTTTAAATAATAAATTATGTTTGGCCTTATAGCCCTCTGGCCCTCTGTTGGAGACGGTTTTTTGTGACAAGGCTAAAACGAGCCCTCTAGCCCTCTAGTCCTCGGTTGGAGACGGAGGCAAATATAGCCCTGTACTGTTCATTAAAATATTAATATCTTGGAGGATCTTCAAGGGCCAAAGGGGTAAAACGAGCCATCTGGCCAGCCATTGGTTGGAGATGGCCTGAGTTTTCAAGTTGCCCACAAAAAGATTATATTATATATCTGTGAACTGTGATCAATGATGATGGCTGAGGTAGATGGCTACGATGAATGAACCTAAAAGCTGGTTTGGTATTGTTATGTTTTGAAAAAAAAAACTACTTCTGCTGTGCTGTGAGAATAAACAACTGTGAAATAAAGCAGCAGAGTATTTGGTAAACTTTTTTGTAAAAATGCTTGTGAAAAAAAAACAGTATTATAGTATTTGATAAACTTTTATGTAAAACAGATGCGAAAAAAAACTGGTTTTCAAAGCTGGGTTTTGCAGCTTTGTGTTTTTGGCTTTTTTCATCCAAAACTGTGAAAAAAAAGCTTAAGCTAAATGTTTACCAAACATAAAAAAAACTCCCAACTTTTTTTTATAGCCACTTTTTTCAAAATCACCTTAATACTAAACCAGGGCTAAGAGTGCCATTGAGATCCAAGGACAAGTTTCTAAAATTAGAATGAAATAGATATATTGCTACAGAAAATATGATCTTATTTTGGATGATAGAGACACTTATTTATATGATCTGTAACAACTTTATTCAAATCTGCCTACTTCGCTTGGGCCCCTAGGGCTAGCCGCCCAATTGCACATGTCTTGTATCTGAACAAGGGCAGTCAGATTTGCAATCCGTATTATTGGCACATGGAATATGTGCAACGAATGGTACTCAGATTTAAGTATATAAAAAAATTTTATTTAATTATTTTTAATTCTTATAACAATATTTAATTAAATTTGTGAGACCCAATTATGTTCCACATCATCATATAACAGAATTTTTGACAAATTTCTAACAAAATGACCACATTGATTTGCAACATCCATTTTCAGGGACTATATTGATCGATTTTTAATTTCAAGAATCATCTTGATAGGATGGGTCAATTTGGGGACCATTTGTGATATAAACCCTTATTACAATTAAACTGTTTAATTGAATGTGGTTGAGATTAATTACTAAGTTAATTAATCAAATTAAAAAGGTCAAGTTGAGCTTTAAATTAGTTTCGGGTTTCACGGCCCAATGGGTCTCCGTCCATTAGGCCCATTAAGCTAAGATTGTGTGACAACTTAACTTAAATGTCACAAACCCAATGTGAAAAGAAGGCTGGCTATACATGAGGAAAATGAGTTTTCAAGGCTACAAGTTTTACTTGATAACAACATGCTTAAAGCTGCTAAAGGAGCACTTGTCATAATTGAAGGGCCTCGAAATACCTTGCTTTATATGCTATAAGGAAAACCTTTGGAGAATGGAGTGGATATGGTAGCTGATGAAGTGCAAAGTGATAAAGGTGACTTGTCTATATTATGGCACAAGAGGTTGGGACATGTAAGAGAAAAAGCATTGCAAGGATTGATCAAGCAACGGTGCTTTAAAGGAGCAAAAACCGGAAAGGTGAAGTTTTATGAGCACTGTGTTCTTGGCAAACAAACAAAGGTGAAATTTGGCTTAACAGTCAATCAAACGAAATGAATTTTAAACTATATTCACTATGATGTTTGGGGGCCTGCAAAGAATGCTTCTTAAGGTGGAAATAGATGGTTTGTATCTTTCATTGATGACTGACTACTCTCACAAATCATGGATATATATATACGATGAAACGAAAGGTTGAGGTTCTTGACAACTTCCTAGAATGGAAGAACATAGTGGAGAACAAGACTGGAAAGGAAATTAAGACATTAAGAAGTGACCATGAAAGGGAATATACCTCTGATCCTTTCTTTAAGGTGTGTAAAAAGGAATAGATCACTCAACATTTCAATGTTAGACATACTCCACAGCAGAATGGGATTCTAGAGAGACTAAATGGGACCTTGCTCAAGAAAGTTCGTTACATGCTATCTCAAGCTAAGCTGCCAAAAGATTTTGGGCAAAAGCTTTAAGCTATGCATGTCATGTACTTAATCATTTACCATTAGCAGCATTGGAGGAAAAACACCCATTGAAGTTTGGTCCGGAGAACCAGTTAAGGACTACGATAAGCTACGAGCATTTGGATGCAATGCTTACTTTCACGTGAAGGAAAACAAATTGGATCCACAAGCCAAGAAATACGTCTTTATGAGATTCAATGGTGGTGTGAAAGGCTTCAAAGGTTGATGTTCCGAGTTGAACAAGATTATAGTGAGCAGAGATGTGACCTTCAATGAAGGAAGATGTTCAGATAGTAGAGCTTGGGGAACAAATAATAGTGAATTCACAACCAAGTGAGGAAGCTGTGGAAGAAGAAAGACAAGGTGATTAACTTGAACATGAAGAAAGGGATCACGAAGATAAACAAAAGAATTTAAAGATAGAAGGTGATTGCATAGCCAAAAGGAAAGGAAAAGGAGAAATATCCTTACCTGCAAGCTACATGGATTGCATGGCCTGCATGGGATATGTACTGCTAATAATTGAGGCTGAAATTCCCACTAATTTTGAAGAAGCAGCAAATAGTGAAGAAAAGAGTAGATAGCATGATGCAATGGACGATGAGAAAGGTAAAAAAAAAGACTGGTTTGTAAGCTCAGAAAATCTCTATATGGTTTGAAGCAGTCGCCCAGGCAGTGGTATTTAAGATTTGACAAGTTTATGAAGTGTCAAGACTATACAAGAAGTCACTATGATCAGTGTGTTTATCACAAGAAGTTGAAAGTTGGTTTGTTTGTGTACTTGTCAATCTATATGGATGACATGCTCATAGCCTCAAGCAATATGTCAAAGATAGAAAAGTTGAAGGAATAGATGAAAAGGGAGTTCGAAATGAAGGATCTCGATGAAGCCAAGAAAATATTGGGAATGGAGATCACAAGGGATAAATAGAAAGCTTTGGTGTGTTTGTCTCTGAAGTAGTATCTTGAGAAGTTGTAACAAAGGTTTGGAGTAACAAAAAACACTAAGCTTGTGGGAACTCCATTGGATGCTCATTTCAAGTTAAGCAGTCAACAATGTCCCAAAAACGAAAGATGAAGATGGAGGGTGTTCCATATGCTAATTTGGTTAGAGGATTAATGTATGTGATGGTTTGTACTCGTCCTAATATTGCACACGCAGCTGGAATTGTTAGTAGTTCATGCATAATCTTGAAAGGGAGCATTAGAATGTTGTTAAGTGGATACTAAGGTATTTATGTGGAACGAGGGACAAAGGTATTTGTTTTGAAAAAAGTGATGAAGGAATTAATAAGTTCTCAGTTGGATATGTGGACTCAGATTTTGCTGGTGATTTTGACAAGAGAAGATCAACAACATGGTACTTGTTTACCATGGCAAAGGGTCCTAATGCTAGAGATCAATACTACAACCAACGGTGGTAGGGCTAAGCACATAGATGTACGATACCATTTTGTGAGAAAAGTAGTAGTTGAAGGTGAGATTCATCTCAAGAAGGTTGCTACAAAAGATAATCCAGCTGACATGTTGACAAAGATGGTTAATACAGCCAAGTTTGAGCACTACTTGGATTTGGTGCATTTGAAGCAATTTTGATCTTGCGATATGGTGGGGCAACGAAACCTATTGTTGGATGCCTCGTATAGATTTCATGCCAAGGTGGAGATTTTTAGATTTGGCATTAAATCAACATGCCTAAACTAAAACAAGAATCAAAGAAGGATTAGATATCTTAGATGCAAGATATCAGTATGTATGTTTCCTAGTTTGGTTGGGATTCAGTTTTAATATAGGATTTGGTTTCCTATTCTAGGGACATTATGTAAAACCCACGACATCTATTAGTATAAATAGATGGTTGTAGGATAGGGTTTATGGGAGGAGAGTTTGAGAGGCATTAGTTTGTATACGAGAGAACATTGTGTGTTTGTGAGTTCTCTAGTATTCATTGGTAATCAATAAAGCTTCCGTTGTTAGAGGTACTCCTATATTAGAGGAATTCTGAAATTGTTTTGTGATTTGTTTATTGCTTGATTGTTTTTTTGGTTTAGTTCACAATAGATACAAGGTCCAAATGTTGCCCAATGTGTTTCCTAGGTTGAACTATTAGTTCAACATAGCGATGAGGACATGGCGAGGATCTACACTACAAAAACAATGGTCATTATGTCGTCGAAAAAGGCATTTTGACATCGCAAATACTTATTTACGACGGGAAAAAGCCCTCGCTGGGTGTCGCAAATTGATCCATGGGAAATACTTGTTTTTCGACCAACCGTCGAAAATGATTCATTTACGATGCTTGTAGCTTGTCGTTACTAGTTATATTTTCGTCGGAATTGATTTTTCAAATTGAACAAAATTATTTTATTTTCAACATGTCTATGTGGTCGCAAATACTTCTATGGTCGTCGAATATACCTTCCAAACGACGACATTTGTTTTTTGCGATGATTTTCTTACCACCAAAACATTTTGTCGAAAAATGATTTTCCAACAATCATTACAAGAGTGCACAATTTCGTCGCAATTACGATTACCGACAATTAAGAATTGTTGAAAATACGCACAAAACATATTTGTGAAGGTCAAGAGTCGTTGGAATTATACATTTCCGTTGATCTTACTTCGTCGGCAAAAATAAAAGGATATAAATACAATTTTTTTTAATTTAAAAATATTTTCAATTTTATATTAATAATCATATATTCAACTACATATACAAAAAAATCAAAGTAAAATTTTTACAAGTACTTGTTACAATCCTATGATATGTCTTATAATGCTAGTTTTTCATGTCCACTTTAACCAACTGTCAAGGAGTTCGAACGTAGTGCTACGAACATTGATCCACAATTATTATCTTTATTCTGCCAAAAAAAAAAATTATGTCAAGCACAATATAATTGTCAATTGGTAAGAAACCCAAACAATGAAAATCAGAAAATAAACATAAGCTATAATGAAGAGCCTTGCATAATTTTAGCTCAAGGTGTGAGCATATCAACCACCAATCTATAACATACATAATGCAAGTGAGTAGTTGAAGTGAAAATTAAACACACCTCTAATACGTTCTTCAATTTTTCTCGTACCACCCTAAGATCAGAGGATGCTCATAATCCAAAGACTCTAAAAAATATAATAAGGAAAGTAAAACTATATGCACAGTTTAACAATTATGATGTTTCACAGTTTCAGGATGATAAGGACAACTATATCAAATAAACTGAACTATAATCACAAGTTCGCAGAGAAGTTAAAGTATATGCCAAATCACGAGTTCACAGAGAAGTATATGTCAAATCACAAGTTCACAGAGAAGTATATGTCAAATCACAAGTTCACAAAGAACTGGACAATTCTGCGCTTAATTTAGTTGTTAGAGTTTGATGGTTTACTGTTGTCTGATGAAACGTTGACATTTTGTAAGATAAACCCTATGCTCAGTATCCGTATAGAAGTTCAACAATTTGTTGTACAAGTGTGTATATGCATAAATGACATACTCCTCCAATAAAAAGACATATCACAAGATACACAGAATCTCATACCTTGGTTGAATTTGCGAGCACACCAACCATCTACCCCATCGCAGACAAAGCTGGAATAGCAAACTTAATCATATATTATACCCAACAAGACAAGACGAACAAAATACGGCTAAAAACTAAGATTGCATTTGAATTGTGGCTTTGAATTGAAAGTTTCCATTCAATGATCTAGTTTAAACTCTATTTGCATAAAATATTTAGAGAAGAAAACACATTATTAAATGAATCCTTCGACGATATATTTTAAACTCTATTTGCAAATCACTTCTTCCAAATCCATAAATCCAAACACCAGATAAATGAATTCTTCAAAAGCATGAATCCTCACCTTATGAAATAGAGAACGGAGAAAAGTTGCTTGTTGGAGAAGCACTGGGCAAAGGCAAAACGGTTCATAAGAACCCTTATGTACCCTGCATTCCTAGTAATCGCAAAATCATTTATCAAAACAAAAACCCATTTCTAGCTTACTTGACAATGTAGTTTCATAGTAACATTTCTGTTTAGGAAGTGAAAAACTCACCAATCATGTTGGGTATGTAAAGATAGATATCGAGTTTCGTTAGCCTTTGTTGAGCTACAGATTTCTTAGCCATTGGAGAACTACCTTAATCAACTTGAAATTACACAAAATGCATTGGATTACCGAATAAATGTTTTTGCCCCTACACCCAAATCGTCAAAACAAAGCACTAATTATGCATAAAAATACACACTAATCACCTTAAGTAGCTGAATTGAGGCATAAGATAGCAGTTAGAGAATAAAGAATCAGAATTTGATTGTGGAAATGGCAAGGAACAAGAAGTGAATCAATATCTTTTGGGGTTTCTCCTTTCAGACTCGGCGACGGAGATCACAATGTAATGACTACAAGCCCTAACCCTAAGACACTGAATCCGATTCCGATTCCCCTTTCTCTTTGAGTCTCTCTCGACAAGCAAAATCCCTAATTGAAATGAAAACTTGGATACTTGGCTTGCCCACATACTCGGAAGACAAACAGCAAAAGCCCTACTTGGCTTGTCAATCAAATTCTTAAAAAAAAATTGCTAATCACCCAAATTATAAGTCCAATCTAAAAGAGAAATTGCATCTATAGGCATGAGCAAGATGAGATTTTTACCTTTTCGTTCGGACGTGGACTTCATCCATGGATTGCCAGAACACAAAAGCACCCAAAGTCATAGAGAAGTAAGTTGCCATGTCCTTCACCATCCTCTTAGCCTTCTCGTTTTTTCCTTCCAAATCTCAAATCCAGGCGAGACCTGAAAATATATATGTCAGACCTCATAAGATATAAACTGAAAAACAACATATGTGAGGATTTCATGGTTTCTATCATCATCACGTATGGCTACTAGAGAATGGAGGATGGAGGCTAGGGTTTTGTTTCTGAAGAGGAAATACATAGAAGCTGCGAGAAAGAGATAATCGTTGGAGAGTTAAGTTTTTGGGCGCCATGCCAAAGTTTTGAAAATAGAGAGCTAAATATAAAAGGCGCCATGCCAAAATTTTGATGGCTCTCTAAAACACACGGTAAGTGAGATTAAATCCTATGATTATTAATGTAGAAGTATGTCTTGTTCTAATTTTTAATAGTTTTTTTAATTAATGTAGAAGTACAAAAAAAAAATCTACAAACACTCATAATATCAAGTTCAACAATTTTTGTGAAGAGGTCAATGGGATGAAACCTTTCAACGGTTATAAATGAAAACTCATGATTTAACGGTTATTTTAACTCCGATTTTGCTGATTTTTTACAAATACACTCCTGAACCCTATAAGAGTACGATGAACGAATTCGATCTCCAATTTAAAATATTTGCACTAGTGGATACCACAAAATATTATGTTCTACTTAATGGAAGTATAAAATAAACTCCAAGTGTTTGTTGAATCTATCGTTTTGAAGGAATACCCATTCTACAAAACTAGTTTCAACGATCCAACCGTCAAATTTGTTTGTATATGCTTCAAGATCGCATACGTAAAAAATTGCAAAAAGCTTACATTCAAATATTAGGTAATAGGACGAAACCTTTCGACGATTATAAACAAAAACTCACGACTTAACGGTTTTTTAACTCCGATTTTAATGATTTTTTTACAAATACACTCCTCAACCCTAAAAGAGTACGAGGAACAAATTTGATCCTTAAATTAAAATATTTGTACTAGTCGATACCACAAAATATTATGTTCTACTTAATGGAAGTATACCCATTCTACACTCCTCAACTCCAAGTGCTTGTTGAATCTATCGTTTTTTGAAAGAATACCCATTCTACAAAATTAGTTTCAACCATCCAAACGTCAAACTTGTTTGTATATGCTTCAAGATCGCATACGTAAAAAATCGCAAAAAACTAACATTCAAATATTAGGTAACGGGACGAAACCTTCGACGGTTATAAACGAAAACTCACGATTTAACGGTTATTTTAACTCCGATTTTGATGATTTTTTTTACAAATACACTCCTCAACCCTATAAGAGTACGATGAATGAATTCGATCTTCAATTTAAAATATTTGCACTAGTGGATACCACAAATTATTATGTTCAACTTAATGGACGTATAAAATAAACTCAGTGTTTGTTGAATCTATCGTTTTGAAGGAATACACATTCTACAAACTAGTTTCAACGATCCAACTGTCAAACTTGTTTATATATGCTCTTAGATCGCATACGTAAAAAATCGCAAAAACTTGACATTCAGATATTAGGTAACGGGACAAAACCTTTCGACAGTTATAAACAAAAACTCACGATTTAACGGTTGTTTTAACTCCGATTTTGATGATTTTTTTACAAATACACTCCTCAATCCTATAAGAGTATGATGAAAGAATTCGATCTTCAATTTAAAATATTTGTACGAGTGGATACCACAAAATATTATGTTCTACTTAATAGAAGTATAAAGTAAACTCCAAGTGTTTGTTGAATCTATCGTTTTGAAGGATTACCCATTCTACAAATCAACAATCTAACCGTCAAACTTGTTTGTATATGCTCCAAGATTGCATACGTAAAAAATCACAAAAAACTGACATTCAGATATTAGGTAACAAGACGAAACCTTTCAACGGTTATAACCGAAAACTCACGATTTAACAGTTATTATAACTCTAATTTTGATGATTTTTTACAAATACACTCCTCAACCCTGTAAGAGTACAATGAACGAATTCGATCTTCAATTTAAATTAAGCATCAAACTTATTTGAAGAATATTCCAACGACACATGTGACCATTGGTAAATAATTGATTCCCACAAAACCATGCCTTAAAAATTTATTCTGACAAAGAAAAAAATTTCGTCGGAAAAAATATAATTACTTCTGACAACAACTAATCACTCTCGAAAATATAAAAACATTACCAAGAGGACTTTTTTTCCCTAAAAAATACTAAATCAATTTCGTCAATATGAGTAAACCTTCGGAAATAACTATTCTATTTCCGATAAGAACTTTACTCGTCGTTAATACAACTGGCGCCAATTCTTCCCACCAAACAAAAGTGCATTTCCGACGAAACTTGAGACTTTTTCCAAGGACATTATGTGCGTTGGTAATAAATATTTGTTTCATGCCATGTTACCGACGACCCATATTTTATGGTCGCAAAATGTGCTTTTTACGACGGTTTTTTGGGACCGTCGGAAAATCTTCGTCGGTAATGACTACTTTTTTTGTAGTGCTATAAGAAGAAGAAAAGTTGAAATTCGTTTTGAAGCAAATGGAACTCGAGAAGCAACAAAAGATTAAATCTTAGTACTACAGAATTGGGGAAAAGGAACCATTTAGGAAGCTAAATATTGTACTTGGTGTCACAAAATTTGGTTTTGGCACCTCATAGTCTTAATGCGAGGTTTTCTTCATGCAGAACATTCACCCTATTAATGTTATAATACAAAAAATACTGTTAATTTGTTCGTGTAGATTCCCACGCCAAAGTGCTAACTAATGACGTCAACTAATACAGCCATTTTGAGCCAAATGCCAGAACAAGTACAATTAATTCCGTCGAGGAACCAAATGCCAGAACAAGTACAATTAATTCTGTCGAGGAACCAAATGCCAGAACAAGTCCTCACATTAGTCTTTTTTACAATTCCGTCGAGGAATCGAATGCCAGAATAAGTTCTCACATTATCTTTTTTTACAATTCCGTTGAGGAATCGAATGCCAGATTAATTCCTCACATTAGTCTTTTTCACAATTGCGCAACGAATCGAATACCCGAATTAGTCCCCACTTTCGTCTTTTCCCATTACATACTACGTTGGGATTCTCTATCGTACTACGTTGTCTCTCTCATGCATTCGTCCCATATTCTTCTGCTAAGAAGGTTCTTCTGTTTTCATTATTTGCTCCAATTCAAATTACACATGCCTGTGTTGTTTACTTTATTCATCACAGAACCTTCTTTTGCTTAATCAATCTACTTTGATTTACTTCTAAAAGAGAAAAATCGAAACCGAAAACCAGAAAAAAAAAAGAAAAAAAAAACATTTCGTTCTATCAATTTCGTTGTTTTCTTGTCTCTTGATTTCATTTTCTGCCAATTTCAACTTCCTGTCGATCGGTTTTACTTGAAAAGGGAAAACAAAAAGCATACATACTTTGTTTAGCTTCATATACAGACCGATTGTGCTCCGGCGTTTTGTAGGCAAAGGAATCTGGAGAGAGAAGGTAGAAGGTACGTACGTCTTTTGATTTTTCCTAGTTTTTATTTCCTTCTGCTCTTTATACGTTTTTTTAGTTGTTTGTGCAAACAAAGCTACGAACATCTTGTGAATGAACACTGATGAGTCTCCCTGTGAACAAAGCTATGAACTTCTTCCTTGTTTAGTTGTTTCTGGGGGAATCGAGGTGACAAACGTCGTAGGCTAGACGAGGGCTTCGATTTTGATATAAAGATTCGTAGAAATCGGTGACTGAATAAGGACTACTTAACATAGAAAATTAGGGGCAGGTTGTAACAATCCTTGTTAATTTCTTTGCTTCAATCTATTTCTCAAATGGGTGTATAATCCATCATATTTTAATTAGCAAGGCAGTGGACAATCATTTTTTTTTCTCAATAGATTAGTGAATTAAGACAAACTCTAATTCTCACAAATCACGAATGACACCAAGTAGTATGTCATAACCATCAATACTTATTTAATTGGAATTACAATGTAATATAACCTTTCTCTAATATCTCTATGTCACATTGGTTTAGGCCATCATGTCAGATGCCCCAAGGTATTAAAAAGCATTAAAGGCTAGTCGGGCGGTGGCATGGCCTAGCATCTAGGTGTCTAGGCGGGGCTTAGGCATTTTTTTTTTAATTTTAGTTAACTTTATTATATAACAAATAAATAAATGTCTAGTTACACTTTAAAAAAAATACATAATTGTATTATGATACATAAATTGTAAAATAGAATAACATATAATTATAATTTGCTAGAACATATTGAAAACATGAGGAACAAATGTATAATAAGTGTTCATATAAGTATTAAACAAGTCTTGTACAATTTATTAAAAATATAAAATGCAAAATATAATTTATCTATTTTTTGTCTAAGTGAGAATTGCGACTTAAGCGGTCTAGATGGGTGTCTAGGCGGATCTAGGCGCCCTTTATATTTCTTTTATACGCCTAGAAATTAATCGTGGCGGTGGCCAGCCACTTAACGTCTAGGCAAGGCGTAAGCGACTCTAGGTGAGGACTTTTAGAACACTACATTTGCCTAAAGTTATCCACCTATAATTTCCTCAAATATGGTTATCATCTGTCATTGATTTATTCTTTTCTTTTTTTTTTGGGTCAAAAATTGTTTTTCTTAAAGTACAATTTTTTGGGTACAACGAGACTAAATCTTAACTTCATTGATTGCAACGCATTGACAACACATGATTGTGGGGACCTTGAGCTTTTATATGCAAACGTATTCTATAGAAAAAGAGTTGTTATTGACAATTTAAAATATGGATCGTAAGTGGCCTTCTACCACAGTAATGGAGATGAGTATTACCCTTGCACCAATTATGTCGGCTCCCTAATCTAAAAAATTCATCGTTTGACCAAAAAAAAAAGAAAAAGAAAATTTAAAATAAGCATCATGTTGCATGATGTTATATAATGTCTAGTATTATTGTCACGCCTCAAATTCAAGGTCAACATAAAATTAAACCTTGTGCCCGGTGCACGAATAAAAAAAAGTAACAAGAAAATAAACATCTCTTAATTTACATTGCAAAAGTTTCTCTACACCTCCCGTGACAGTCGACTGCGTTTTTAGGATTCACCTGTTAAATATTCATAAGGGATAAACAGGTGAGCTTAAATACAACAATGCATTTAATATATGGAATCAATAATAATATTTGTATGTAATGTTTCCTCTTTACTCTATTTTGTTAACCCATTTAACAGATAAATCCATTTCTCACTTCATTAATCATCTTGTCAAACTCTCAGTCCCCAAATCTAAAACCCGATTTGATCATCTTATCAGACTTTAACAAAAAATTGTTGAGATTAAATTTTCGAGATATGGCATAGGGTACAAGAGTAAATACTCTATAATCTTAATTATTTTGTTATTTTTCTTCATGACATCTTCAGAGAATGTCGTTTGATGATCAATTGCAAAATTTCAACAAGACAAAGGAAGCCATCAAGGCTAAGATTGGGGCAGCGGCCGCAGCCAAGCTTTGAGTGAAGCCATATACTCATTGAAAAATAAGTAAAAGGATTATAATTAGGCAAACAACATTGATCAAAATCAAGGAAAATTGGGAACCATTCAGATTATTAACAATCAAAAATTTAAAAAGAATGTATATGATTCTAATTCGCGTGTTTATTAAGAACTACAGAGTTATGATATTATCATGGGAGGATATATAGTTTACTCATACAAGTTGTTATTGGGTAAGAGGAGCTCTTGCTTATTTTTAAGCAGACAAGCTTTGTTCTTCTTCATATTCCCGTTCCTTTTCATGACAAGTAAACATGACATACAATCAACTTTGCTCCATCCAGTTTCAATTAAATAATTAAAGTTTCTGAGTATAATTAGGGACTAGCTGGGCATGTGTTTTGGAGCAAAAGATTGTGATGTATGCGTATCTGTTTGAAGAATCTCGATGTGTCAGACCAAAAAAATTAAATATAGGGAGTTTTAACAAAACACTTCCGATACTGTTCACTTTTAACATAAAACCACATTTATACATTTTCCTGGTACTATTCACTATACCTTTAAAAATGACCTTTCATTAAAAGATAAGTTTTTTGGACTTTTCGTTAGTTTTCCTTTAAATATATTGTGCTTATTGAAATGTTATTAGGAGAGCAATTCATATTACACGAGTAATACTATCATTATAGTGTCTCATGCCAAATTCATAGACAATAATAAGTTTTGTCTACATAACATTATGACGTTGATACAGAATGTCGCGGTGACAATTACACATATTATCTAAGCTCTTCTCACAATTAAACACCAACAAAAAAAATATGTGGAAAGGAAAAATCAAATGCATTGGGCCTATTTTCGTTGTCACGTTGCAGATGTTGAACCAAAATTGTGCACGGTCGCGGACAGAGTAGGTACGCAAGTCTTGCCACCTACAAGAAAGCAAACAATCGTGATTAACTCAGGGTACTTGCCAAAAGCTCTTCGACTATCAAATTAGAAAGCAATATTAAGACTTAAATAGTGGGCGAGAAAATATAGAGTATGCATGCGTAGATTGCGTTTACCAGAGATGTGCCATAGATAAGGGTATTTATACTAGTCGAGAAATAAACCTTATAAAATAATGATTTCATATTCAATTGTGAGAATCCAAGAGGATATCTAAGACTAAATATTGTTCCCATTTAGGAGTGTGATTACTTGCGACACACACCAATCCATAGATCGCAAGAATCTCCAAGACTATAGGAAACCTGTCTGATCTTCAATCGGATCAACTTTATGTGTCTTACGAAACAAGAATAGTCGATCTTAGCGAAGTCCAGAATAGTCGATCTCTACGAAGTCGGCAGACTTTGCCTCCCTTTTTGAAATTCATTAGGGTGTGGTGGCATCCCTGATTCGTTTGAGTAGCTTAATCCGATCGAAGTTGTTGAGTCCATGACCGAACTTTTGAGGTATCTAAAAAAACATTCCACTTGCGAATGGACACGTGGCAATCCAGTCTCGCTAACGTTGTGAGGTAATAGAGACATTCCGTTCTCAGGCGTGTGATCTCTAGAGTTGTGCCATAGAGATAACAATGATGACAGATGTCACTTTGCATGTATGCGAAAAACGAGGAGATGTTTTTATGTTACCGATTGATTTCCGTCTTCAAATGCACATGGCTTGAGACGAGACTATCCAGATTCAAGGGTGAGATGATTTCGAAAAAACTTGTCACTACCTCATATTTTTTTCCTTCATTTTCTTCATGCTTATAAATCACCCTTAAGTGCAAAAAAAAACCCTTTGACTGTTTGGAAAATTTCTAAACTCCTCCCAAACTTCAACTTGTCTGACTTTCCTCTCTATCTTTCTGTCAAAGAAATGGCATCTTCCAGTGTTCAACCTGCCCCGACAACCATCTATAACTGCTACTTCAAACCTCCGATGATCATAATTCACAGTAAGGAGGAATGTGATTCACTTTTCAAGGTTCGCCAGAATCTGGTGAACAATTGCAAAATCCAGTAGGAAGGCAGTGAAAACATCTTCTCCCCTCTGTCGAATTCTTCCTTGTACCAGGATCCACCCCCAGCACATAGATTTAGGTCTGAAATTCCTCATTTCAAACTTGACAAAGGAAGTGTTGATTTTCTACAACCTTTCCTTATGCAGTCTTACTCTGATGTTTCACCTGATCATCACCAGCTAAGAGCTCCTGGACAAATTGTATGGGACGGAGTTCAGAATTCAAGAATTATGTTCCTTGTACACCATGCTGAAGAGCTATAGTGCTCATTATTTCTTCCAATCCAGGCCCAGTTATATGAGGGACACATACATTACCAATCTCCAGAAAGACAAAGATTGGAGCAAGGATGTACTAGTCATCAACAAAGATTAGGAAGGTAAGATCTCCAGAGTAAGGGTGCGTTGATGAAGATTTGGATCCACTTTCGATCGACGCCCATGCCAGAGTAAACTAAACTCAAAGTTAATAAGTAACTGAGTCAAAAACAAACTTGTAGGTTAAGGCATTAATCCACCTATCATGATAACATTACTAAGAAAAAAAATATTATTTTCTAAATTTAGTGCTTAAAAAGATTTCCACTGTGAAATCAGAGTACCACCCTACTCTAATACCAGGTTTTAAACCCATGCAAAATCTCTTGCTCCAAAGCTTGCCTTCATCCATTGATCAGATTAAGATGAGAAAGTGACTATCTTTGTCCGGAATGTCCTTCAAATATTAATGTCAGTTCGACATGTTTCTATTGCCTTGTTGGGTAAGTAGTAATGATTGTTAACATTTGCAAAAGATTAAACTAAGTGTTGCATGAGAAGTTGAGCATGACTTTGGTTTTGTTTATTCTTTCACCCTACCTCATTCCAGGTCTGAGGATTTTAATAAGTGCAATGGGTAACCGAGGAGGGGTTTCCTTACTAGTCGAAATTGCATGTCCATTCCTATTGAAACTTAAACAAAAGGTTCGTCAGGAATTTA